TTTAATTTCACCAATACGAAAAACAGCGTGCATTGTAAATAGTATTTCTTGTTCTTGTGGGAGAGCACTGTGTTCATCAATCATTGCAAATGGTGTAATTAAAGTTGATATTTTACTTGGATCTATTGTCATAATGAAGATAACACCCACAATATCTGGATTTCTCTTTAGGGCCTGTGGAACAAATGATGTAGCCACTTCTATTTTCTTTAGATGAATTCAATTATTATATCGTCTTAATAGAAGAATCCATCGGTTGTTTTTCTTCTCACGTCGTCGTAATAATCATTTATGAAGTACAGTAAAACGTAGTGAAGGTACTCACTCTGGTGAATTTCTGTAAAGATACTCGGAAATCTATATTTTGTTCGGCATCCTTGTACTGGCTACGAGTCAATTTATTTTATTAAAAAACTCATGAGTGTGCCATGTGAGCACTGTTAACAACGAGTTAAGGGAAAACATGGATACCATTATAAAGATTCCTGGGATCATATATTGAATGAAAACTGTAAATTTTTCAAAAGATAATTTGAGTTCTTACACGTAATTCGGGGTGTTAATTTACAGTTTATTTATTTTATTTCAAATTTAATTTATTTCTATAGGGTTAAATTTAATCAATTGTTTGGATGGATACTCATCATTGCTATGATAAAAATACGTGACTTTAAGAGTAGTAAATACTAAATGAAAGGATAACGAAGTATTGTAGGGTAATATTTGTTCATAATAGTCAAAGTTTTTCTACCTATTATACAGGATCCGTCATCATTTGTCTTCAAAATACCGGAATATTCATAAAAATATATTTCATAGCATAATTCATAAACGAATGACTAGCTTTAATTTTAGAAAACAAGAAACATACTCAAATTCGACGTTAAATAAGGCTATTATTTAAGCGACCAGTAGAATAAATGCAATGACTAGTAATTAAGATAACTCGATTTATTGATATATTTAAAAGATCAGTAAATTAAATTAAAGGGCCAGTATAAAAATCGAAATGTGTTATAAGGTGATTCATTTTTTTTCTTCTTTGCTCTTTTGGCCCATGTCTTCAGCTGACAAGTACGACCTATATACATGTACTCTTTGTTTCTTTCTTCACGTTCAGCTTAATATTTAGCGAGTAAAATAGATGGAAGTCATAGAAGTTGCTCAGTATGAAAGTGATAAATCAGACGAAGAGGTCGCGGAAGAAAATGATGGCAATAGATTTCGTAGATTTATATCATCTTTACGTTTGCTCAACATTATATATATGTCGTCACACTTATGTTCTGATGCTACATATAAATTAGCGTGGCAAGGTTTTCCGGTGCTAATCGTTGGTACAACTGATTTCAACAAAGCATTTCATCTGTTTGGCCTAGCAATATGTTCAAATTGGATTGAACAAAATAAATAAAGATTTATTAAAACCAACTGCATTGATATATGATGCCGCTGATTCGATTAAAAATGCTTTTGGGAATTCTTATAATCAAATAATGTGTTGGGCACATATGAAAAGTAAAGTTAAAAATCGTATATGCCATATAAATGATAAAAATATTGCAAAAGAAATAATGGAAGATATCGAAGTGCTTCAATTATGTAGCTCTACAATTATATTTAAATTAGCATAAACATTATTTATGAAGAAATGGAAAATGAACAACAAACAAACAAACCAATCAATCTTAGATTGTTTGAATTATTTTGATAATGAATGACATAAATCAAATAATGCTTGGTATGAAGGCTTACAACCTTATGTACCAAGTACAAACAACGCCTTAGAGGCAACCAATAGAACAATTAAAGATGATGGAACGTTATGAGAACGTCACGTTTTATCAAGATTTTTAACAATAGCTTCAAAAATTGTTAATAATTGGTCAATTGAACGAGATACTACAGAACCAACAATATCTTTAAAATTATGGACTTCATCATATCAATGGGCTAAATCAACGAAAAATATAACTTGTATTCTAAATGATTCCTCAAATAAATATTATATACCAGGTCGTGATTTACAATCCATTACACAAGCCAATTTAGATAAATATGAAAATAAAAAATGGACAACTTTTAATCAATTCAAAAAATCATTTGATATTTGGTGTCTGGAAATGAAAAATGATCCAAATTGGAAAACATCCAAATGCAACTGTCCAGCTTTTTTTAAGAACTATATATGCAAACACGCTGTCGGTATGACTATTCGTTTGTAATATTGTAAACTACCATCAGCAGCAGCAAAGACGGTGTCAATCGATGAGAAAAGAAAAAGAGGTAGACCAGCAAAGGCTAAACCTGCTTTGTTGGTACAATAAGTCAATTTTTCTTTCTTTCTTTTTGTTCACTCTTTAAACTCTATTAAATACTCTGTTGAATTTCTTCTTATTTATTTAGATATATTTTTCTTATACTAAATTATAATTTATTATTAGTCTCTTGTTTCATAGAATGCATTGTTTTTTATGGGGTGCCTATGAAGTTAGCATTTCGGCTTTAACTTTGAGAGAAATCGACGTACAGTATGTAAAGGAACTATTCGGACACCCTACTACACGAATTTTGTTGAGTGAATTTCTGAGTAAAGAAAATAGTTTTTCCATAATGTAGTTTTCATAAAATTTTAGAAGGTTTTCCAAGAAACACTCGATTTTTCAAACAAAAAATTATTCAGGCACTTGTATTTTTTTCTTTATCACAGCTCGGTTTTGCATCAAAATATTTTGAATTACATAGCATCTGAAAGAGAAAAAAACTCTGATTCCAAATATGCCTTTGGTTTTTCGAAATTCTCGAATATTAAACGTAATAATCATTTATTATGATTAACATTTTCTTCAGCACATCTAATATTTTGAACTTTTACACAACTAAATTGAAGTACGGAAGTATTTAAATGATTGAAGCTTTGTAGAGAATTGAATTCTCTATCGGATGAAGCGCTTGAATGTACATCTATCCAAATCACGTTCAATTTTGCTCAGCTTCGTCCTTAGCTATCATCGCATACATTATATCGAGAAAGCAACAGGGCGAAAAAAATTTGTTTTTCTTTTTTCTCAATAAATTATATGCCTATGGATAGGTGTACATCGTGTCTAAGGAAAATAGCTGTCGGGCATTCTAGCATATCATCTTGTAGAGTATTTTATTTTCTATAAGTCTGTATATTTCAAAATATTTCGATGCAAAACAGAGCTGTGATAAAGAAAAAATGCAAGTGTCCAAATAATTGTTTTGTTTGAAAAATCGAGTGCTTGGTTCGCACTTCACTGATTGGTCGGACAATGATACGACAACCAAAGGAATACTTACTTAAAAGCTTGACCAAAAGTTAGCTGAAGATGCAAAATCCAAGTCCGACGTCAACTCTTAGTGTTTTCAATTAGTACTTTTAAAGTGGTTTTTCTAGAATACTTCATCAAAAATTAGGCGAGGAAAAACACCAGAGCCTACTATGAAAGGTTTGAAAAAAATTTCACTGGAGGAATATCAGGTGGAGAATTGCAGTCTATCATTAGTTAGTATTACTAATGTAGTTAGAGAAGCATTTAATATGCTTCACTAAATGTATCTTCTGAAAGGAATAGGTTGAAGGCTAAGATATCGATAATAGTTAATTGTACAAATAGATATCATACATACAAATAAATGATTTGTAGCTGTTATTCTCGCAAGGGACGTTAAGTGAAAGCCATCTACCTAACAACAAGACCGCGCTTCTTCCCGATTTTTTACCTATTGTACCAAACATGCCTGTACTTCTTACTCATAATATTGCCTGTGAACTAGGGCTCTCGAACGGTACTCAGGGAGTTTTTCGAGAACTCGTATACGATGATCAGGAGAATCCGGCCGCACTCAAGGTGAACAGTGAGGTGTTCCCATCCAGCAACCTATTGGTCAGTTGTTCGAAAGTGGATAAGGTAAAAGAAAAGTCCCGGAAGTGTTTCAAGTTACAAGAACGCAATTGCAATCGCGCCTGCCTTCACCACAACTACTGATAAGGCGCAAGAACTGACAATGCAAAAAAATTGTGGTCGATCTTGAAGTTCCAGTTGGAATATTGCAAGTAGCATCGATATATGTACCGCTTAATAGAGTGAAGATGTGGCTATTCTTCGACTTTTCGACATAAAGGTTCTATAAGTTCGATCTTCTTCTCTTGGCCCGGACGCTGAAGTGAAACGTCTAGGTGAATTTGATAGAAAGACACAACGAGAATACACTTCTTTTACTTTTTGAAATTGCGTGAATAAATAACTTTCTGACTCTAGTATTATAGTACGTACATAAGTCGTGGCATAAGTTGAAATCATGCTAAAGAAATTATCTATATATGTTCATTCTCTTTTTCTTTCATTTGTTTTTATATATACGCTAATTACTACAGTTGTTTCTTGACTTTCATTCTGACAGACGTTTTCCCCTGTTTGTTCTCTCAGTTTCTTTCTTTATTGTCTTTCTTCTTTCATGTAATAACTCTATGTCTAAAGGAAAGATGTACTGTTAGCGTCAGTGACGTAGCTTACTAACGCTAAACGAAGATTAAGATGTTCTTCTAGTCTAACTGGTTAGGACATCTGCCCGGATAGCAGAATGTGTGGGTTCGAGTTCCACGAATTTCATCTTTTCTTCATTCTGTCACATAACATCAGTCACACTGCTTGTCCCTTTCGCTCTTAATATATCTCTCTTTCATTCCTTTTATATCCTTTTCATTCTATACATATTAGAGCTAGCACATTTTCTCTAAGAATTACCACAGTGGCACTGATAATTCGTCGACAGATTAGAAATTCCTATTTCTCAGCTCTTGGACACTGCTGTTCAGTTGAATGGCGGTATGGTCCATAATAAACTCTTTCAAATAATGTTCTAACGTGTGTCAGGAAGCTTGCTTTTAGCCAAGTTTATGTTTAACTTGACGAGTCATTCAAGCAAATCTAATCGAGAAAAATAGAAAGATTAATTCAAACTTAAAAATGAATAACTACATTTGATTCGATTGTTTTAGAAAATCTGTAGAAAAAAACAACTATGTATAATAATAATAGTTTTATATGATTTTGAAATTCAGAATCAACTAATTGCAGATTTAGAAAGTAAAACACTTACATTCATTATGATGGGTTCATCTGAGTAGAACTTAGTGTCGTTTGTTTTGTAGGCTGCTCTAATTAAATGGAGAAAGAAAATCTGTTAATGTGAAATTACCAGTTATTGTAACATAGAGAGAACTAAAGCTATTCTGTTTTTTTTTCACTTATTTGTGTTTTAATTGTCCGATTATCTATCTAATCACAAAAATACTCAATGAATGGTGTCATCAACCGTAAAAGTTAACATAATTTTTACATATATTATGGTGTTGTTTTTTGCGAATATTATTTATGTTCAGTAAACTCAATAATTATAAAAAGCAGGCAAATTAATGATTGATCAGTAGATTACTTAAATAGTCAGTTATAAATTATATGAAGTTTGTAAATAAATTTAAAGGTCAGTATATAAATTGAAATAGTTGTAGAGTGAATCAAATTTGTTTCTCTTTTTTTTTCTTCAGCTATTCTACATTACCTATCTCAAAAACGTCTTCGTGCAAACTAGTCATACATACTGCTTGGGCGCTTCATTGGCTATTTTAATTGTATGTAAAATATATTATCAAGTACGCTGTTTTTCTCTCAATGGCACGTATCGATCGAGAGCCTTGGAAAAACGGATTGTACAACACAACATCAACATCTCGTGTAAGAATTTTGATCCAAAAAAGTTACTAATAAGTACTTTTATTTTTTCTTCAGCAAATGTGAAAAAGTACTTACGTATAAATGAATCTCTTAACGTGATGTTAGCGTTAGTGATGTAACTTACTAACGCTAAACGAAGATTAAGATGTTCTTCGTTCTATCACATAACATCAGTGATACTGTTTGTCTCGTTCGCTCTTAATATATCTTTCTTTTACCGCATTTGGAAGTAATAAAAAATGCTTTTTACTACTTTGCTGCAGTAGATCTATTGCTTTCGTAAAATTCACTTTGAAACCCTAAATGCGTTCCATCGATCTCGTATGATACAGTAGTATACTAATTTACCTTTGTTGCCGGTGGTGATTTACAATGTTTTAAACGAATCCCATCCCCACGATATGCTTGCATATATAATTTTTAAGAAAAGCTGGACAGTTGCATCTTGATATTTTTCAAGCACCAAATATCAAACGAATTTTTGAAGTGGTTGAAGGTTGCCCATTTTTGTTGGCATATTTAGTTAAATCAGCTTGTGAAATAGATTCTAAATTATGAGCTGATATGTAATATTTTTTACAAAGCATAATTTTGAAGACAGATAACATCTTTTGTTGATTTTGCCCATTGATATAACAAGAAGTTCATAAATTTAAACATATTGTTGGTTCTACAGTAAAAAGTTTTGCATTTGTTGAAGATGGATCCCGTTCAATTGATCAATTATTAACTATACTTGAAGTTAGTACTAAAAATCTTGATAGAACATG